TCTCAAGGTGATAGTCTAGCAGAGTAGAGAAGACAGTAGTCTAGGAAAGGAAGACTTCTGTGATCCTAACAGACGATAACTAGAAGTTCTGCTCTCACGAGGCTTAAGAAAATCGAGGAAAAGGTAGATGTCAGTTGGTGCTAGCAGTTGGAGGTAACAGGTTAGGGAAAAGTTTAAGAAAGTAGGAGAGTGTGTTTTAAAAAGAACAATGTTTAAGGTTTATAAATCACAATGGAAGACTTGAGGTAAAGGGAAGTATGGTTCTAAGGAAGGAATTACAGAGCTTTGGGGGGATGAAATTATGAAAGTAGAAGACTAAAGAGACTTAAATTTGGCACTGGGGACAAATAGATGGAACTGTAGCTAGATGGTTTTCCACCACCAGAGCAAACAGTGTTCAGAGGTTACTATAGGCCTCGTGACAACAGCTCAAAATCTTAGTTCTGTCGTCACTGAGAATAAACCTTAACAACTCGAAATCTCAGCTCATGTAATCTTTAAATATTATCTGTATGGATACAAGCTAAAATAGAATACTAAATTGGGAAGGTTCTGGTTTATTTATTATGTCAGAGGAGTTCACACAATGATTATATTTGTACCTTATAAAGTACTCTTTGTACTTTTCATTAAACTGTTCTATAAACCTAAAACCACTAAAAAAATTTTTATTAATTAAAAAGTTAGTAAATAAAACATTTCAAGTGATTTATGAATCAACAGAAAACACATACTCATCTGCCATTAGATTAAAATAAATGTTATATAATGAGCCAATGATACAAAATCTTGTTAGAGGTTATATGTCCACTCATTAGCCCCATTTCCCTAATGTCGGCCCTTCCCTAGAGTGTGTGGTATCTGTATCTATATAAATAATTTGGTTAAATATTGTATTACACAATTCACAAGCTCATGTAAAGGTATTGGGATTTAATGAAGACAGGGGTCCCCAGCCCCCAGGCCATGGACCAGTATAGGGTTGCACAGCAGGATATAAGCAGTGGACCAGCAAGCGAAGCTTCACCTGTATTTACAGCTGCTCCCCATCACTTGCATTACTGCCTGAACTCTGCCTTCTGTCAGATCAGCAGCAGCATTAGATTCTCATAGGAGTGTGAACCCTGTTGTGAACTGCACATGCTAAGAATCTAGGTTGCGAGCTCCTTATTAGAATCCATTGCCTCATGATCTGAGGTGGAGCTGAGGCAGTGATGCTAGCGCTGGGGAGTGGCTGCAAATATAAATTAACATTATCAGTGAGGTTGACTGCACATCATCCTCATACACACACATAACTGCTGCCTTCCCCATACGTGGAAAATCTGTCTTCTATGAAACCGATCCCTGATGCCAAAAAGCTTGGGGACTGCTGATGAAGATTTAGACTATGGGATAGGGAAGAAAACTTACCCATTTACTTATTGTCCAGTCAGTGCATGTGAAGATTGTTTGTAGTGTCCAGGAGCCATTTTTTTCTGTTCAGGTCCGGGAACTCTCTCTTTGTCTTTTATTGTTACATGTACCACTTCTAATTTTTTTATTTCCTTCCATGAAAAAAAGGTAGCAATGTTATTACTCATAAGTCTGTGGCTCTTTGAAATCTATTTGTAGTAAAACAAAATAGATTATTTGCTTCTGTAGTTACCAAATACTATTACCTTAATATTGGTTATATTTTACTCATGATACTGCATTATTGGGGTTCCAGAGATTTAAAGATTGTTACTGCAGTTGGTTGATGATGACCCAATGCATGTCTTACCTAGAAGGTTTGGGAAAGTATGAATGATCATTTATTTTCTGGTCATGTTAAATGTACCATCTGGAAATTTATAGTGTAAACATAGAATAGTACATCCTCCAACCATATCTTCCCTTGAACTCTTGGCCATGAACACTGTTCCTAGAGTATACTCTGTCTTCAGTGTTGACTATACCCCCATTTTCCCCATTCAGCCACTAGTGGGGAGGAATAGACAAGGGCCATATTTGTGGGCACCTTTTATTATTGCTATCAAGAGGCTGTTATGCTCAGGATTTATTTTTCAATTTCTTTTCACTTTTCTACATAATTAAACTGTTAAGCAAGGAACAGGAACTACTACCAGAAGTCTTTGGTTGCCTCCATTTGGTAGATACTGTGTATTGCTTCTTGGAAGAGCATCATTTAAATTGCTTTTCCCTTCTTCAAAAGCATCAGACTTAGAAATTAAGTCACACTTGAGGGACTACTGAAGAAAATGGTGTAAGCAGACTGTGGCATGTCTTTGTCAGAGATCCCTTGATACTGATAAAAGAGTGGGTTCTGATGCTTTTACTGACTTGTTCTTCTAAGGATACTTCAAGTGGAAGAAAATGAATTTGTAAATAAAATTTTTTAAAAGACATCCAGATACCTCTTCAAAAAAGTGGATTAACTGTTTAGTGGCTTAGAAAATTCACACTTGCTTTCTCCACAGAGAAACTTCTAATTACACTGCCTCTTGTCAAACTAGGTACAACAATGAGTGATGTAGAATCGTTTCTCAATGATCTGTGTTAATGGAGGAAGAATCATCTAAAGCAGCAAATAAACTAAATAAAATACTTTTAATTTAAGGTATTTTTTTCCAAGTCTGTTTTCCTCGGACCAGGACTAGCCACATAATTCCTGAGTCCGCATGCAAAATAAAAACGTAGGACTCCTTGTTCAAAAATTAAGAATGTCAAGATGGTGATATTAGGTACCTAGGTTGGGGGTGGGTGAGAGGCTTATCTTCCCTGAGACATTGTTTCTAGGTACCTCCAGATGCACCATGAGGGCAGGGCAGGAGCTCCTGAATCAATGCTCAGGCCCCTGCCTGGATGGGGAGGGCAGCTGCAGTCACTGGAAGGAGGACCCGGAGGGGGGCCAAGTGGGACCCTGGGCAGCAGACTGGGGAAGAAGCAACCAAGAACCAATTGAAGACAAGCAACAGGAGGCAGGATTCCTGTGAACAGAGGCTATAAGTCCCTGATGACAAAAAAGCCCCTTTGTCTCATTAAACCACTTACTTACAAAGCACAGATTCACAATAAGATTATTCAGAAATCTTAGATGGCAACTGCAGAGCATTAAACCCCAAGGGTCCTCCCTGTGTGAAGGGTCACACATCTATGACTATCCCTGCCTTGGACTTCGACTAATGTGTACTGTTAATGTCAACTGATCATATCAACAGCACCCTAGAATGAGACTGAATATGATATTTCATTCATCTTTCCTCTATTCGAATGAACTTGTCACATACTTTATAATATGGATAACCTTGATATAGGATATCAAGAATTAATGGTATCATATGATTCCAATAAATTCATTAACTGTTGACTTCTTACTATTGCACAAGCCCAGGCCAGGATAGAGAGTTGGAGAAGGATGACTGTCTTAGTCTGCTGCAACAAAATACCGTAAACTGGGTAGCTTATAAACAAGAGAAATTGACTTCTCACACTTTTGCAGACTGGGAAGCCCAAGAAGGCTCTAGCAGATTTGGTGTCTGACGAGTGCCTTCTTCCTGATAGATGGCTGTCTTTTGACTGTAACCTGATACGAAAGAAAGGGAGAACTCTGTCTCTTCAGCACCTTATTATCTCTTCAGCTCCTTATAAGGGCACTAATCCCATTCCTGAGGCACTAATCCCACCCTTACAACCTATTTACCTCCCAAAGGCCCTTCCTCTTAGTTTTAATTAGGTTTCAACATATGAATTGGGCGGGGGTCATTGAGACCATTAGCCGTGGCCAAACATGGCTCACTATTTACTGGTGTTGAAAGATATAGACATTAGGGACTATAAAACAAGACAGTTCATGATGTGTGCTCTAATAGAGGCACAAACAAGCACAACAGGAGAACTGGGAGTACAGAGATTAACTTTGACAGAGAATGTGGAAAAACCTTGTGGAAAAAAGAATGACTTTAATCAGACCATGATGGATGGGTAGAATCTCTACTGCCAGAGGTTGACAGGCAAGCCTTCCAGACCCAGGGACATCATGAGAAAGATAGTGAACATAGAGCTCGGTGATAGATGTGCCTGCACATGGGGACATTCAGGCATTCTTTTATTATGTTCATTGAACATCTGTTTTCTAGATACTGAGCCAGCAGTAGGGATATTAGAATCTAGAATTCGGAATTACACAAAGCCATGTTTGAGTCATAGTTTACCACTTGCCAGTTATGTGACTGGAGACACCTTACTTAACTACTCTGAGCCTCAGTCTTTGTAATCTATAAAATTAAGTTAGTGATTTTGTAAAACTATTTATAAGGATTAGGTGAAACAATGTTTGAGGAATACTTTAACTGGCATTCTCAATATAGTAAGGAGACAAACAAGGAAACAAAAATTGTGATAATAAATGCTAAGGCAGCATAGGAAGGAGAGTGCTGTCTGCCTGAGGGTGTTGTACAAGGCTTCATAAAGGAGACGGTATTTTAACTGGGGTCTGAAAGGAAAGTCTGTGTTTGTAAGCCAGAAGGAAGCTGAGAAAATTTTATCTTAGGGTGTGGTTTGAAAATCATGAATCTCCCTTATAATTATAATCTGTAAGGGGGGAGGGTGGGCTGGGGGAGGGTTGGGGGGAGTAGCAAAGAAGGATGGCCACGTGTATTTATATGTCTGTGGATAAAGATAAAAATAATCACAGACCAGTTTTGCCTGATTCAAAGCAACAGACCTTGTATGCTGAGCCCTTCCTTATAGAAGATGTAAACAAGTTCACACAAGAGCTTCTGCAGCAGATATTCTCTGTATTTTCTTCTTTCCAGAAGTCAGGAGCCAGGAAGGAGAGTCAGACAAACTCTAAAAAAAAATAGTTTATTTTCCCATCATTATATGGAACATTCTGCTTAGGTGGTAGGCATTTAACAAACACAATCGGCTCTTTTAAAAGTAAGAGTCTTGTGGTATTGGTTGATAATGTTTTATTATGTGCTTTAAAGTACTTGTCTTTTTGTATCTTCTTCCAGACTGAACACTTGCCTTTGCAGACTCAGTTCAAAGAAAAAGAAGTTGGTGGTCTTCAGCACTCTGTAGGTAACATGGTCCTGTTGTGGGTCTTAGTCCCGGTGGAATTGGTGGCCCATGTGATTATTAAAACATATTTAATTTTACAAAAGTTCATTTTATTAATCTCTCCCCTACTTGACTGTCTAAACTATTTTTAGGTAAAGTCTTTAAGCTTGTTTACTCTAGAAGTAATCTAAAAATTAAACTAAAAAATACTTAGAAGTAATTAAGTTTTTTAAAACCAGTAACCAAGCAGAGGGGTCCATAACAGGTGCTCCACAGAGCATCATGGGGAATTCATTTTGTAAGTGTCAGCTGTGGCCCAAGGTCAAGCCAGAAAGAAAGGTCAAGGCAAGATAATATTTTTGGCAGAGTTTTCTTATTCTCAGTTTTTGTCAGGCATATGGTCAAATGCCAGTTCATTTTGCTGTGTCCTTTTCCTGGTTTCCCAGTGCTGAATTTTGAAGTTTCTTTTTGTTTTGTTTGAGTTAATTCTGTTTAGCTTATATTTTCATTTCAAACTTCAGCCTTGCTTGAGAGACACCTGAAGTTTTTACAACCCCGTTTTCTCCAGTTTATCTGTCCTGGTACCAACTTCACATTCCAAACCCTGAAATTCATCACAGTCCCCAATTTTGTATTTAGGAGTTGCCACTATTATTATTCAGGTATTGTAGGCAAAAGATGACTGGAAAATGATAAGCTGTTGAACTTTACCCTGTCATTTGATAGCTTGTGTGGTAAGGAATCAGGGACGCAGACTGTCATGAATTCTGTTCTTGCCTGTTTCTAGCAAAGGGCTAGAAAAACGCCAACAGCTACTCTGCTAACGTAAGCAATGTTTGAATTTTTAGAATGGACCAAATAGCAGGAGATTTGACTATGAAGATGAGAATCCAGTGGGGGAAGATGGGATTCAGCAGATGTACCCCCTTTACAACCAGATGTGCTACCCAGACCGGAGCCCTGGCAAACATCATCAGAGAAATGACCCTAAGAGAGTCTACATCAACCCGCGAGAACACTATGTGTGATCTTTCTCTTTTTCCAATGGGTATTCTAACGAATGTTTATTCTTAAATTGAGGAGAGAAACTGAGGCCAATAGTTATTGCATTCTTGCTCATATGAAACAGTCCCTGTCTAAGTGTACTGGAAATCTCGATGAATGACTTAAAGACAGTAGTGAACTTCCTTCATTAAGGTTTCTTAACCACCAGCTGTGTTTGTGAGCTTGACTATAGTTTTGTGTGTTTCTGTGAAGATGGTGTTTAACTACTAACATTTGGCCTACAGTGCCATGTTCATTTAAAAGTACAGCATCTGCCAGTGATGACTGCAGTCTCCAAAAAAGAAAGGCTCCAGCTGGTACTATTAACCTCGTTGGGTCTCAGGCAAGCTAGCCTGTTCATCTGTAATTCAAACAGGCAGAAAAATTAGTTCAGATTCCATTTCACTAATTATTTAGCTGGGATTTAGATTTCCCTGATACACTTAATACAATTACAATACCTGTGTACAAACAGAGGCCTGAGGAAAGAGGCAAAATTTGCTCTTTATCCAAACAATACTACAAAGCAGTTTAAACCTTAAAACCTGTTGGTTCCTTTTAAACCCTTGCATTCTTGTGATATATGTTCCTTCTTGATCACTAAGGTCTTGAAGGATATGTATTTCTTGCTCTTATCGGTCTACCGTTGACTAGCTAGGTGCAACAAAGCTTCTTCTCTTGCTCTGTCATTGTTCCCACAGTCCTGGTCTTTGCTAGCCAGATTAACCTGTTTCCCACCTATTAAATTTCAAAAATCCTATCTAAGTAGTATATACCTTTAGCCATGTCCCTCCTTTCTCTAGTATTATACATGACAAGCTCAGTTTTCACTGCTTAAATTTCTTTCAAACTAATCCCATCCACACAGGTTTTAGCTACCCTTCTGCATTCTACTAAGGATCATCTATGTTTTATCTACCTCAGAAAAGCCTGCTGGAAAATCACTGGGAAATTACTCCTGCTCTAAAAACGAGGTGAAAAATTTGAAAACTTAAAAAAAGAAAAAAGCCATTTCAATATGGCTTGTGTTTTAAGCCCACATGTTCTTTTTCCCTCCACCCTCGCTTTACCTGATTATCAAGAGTAAAGAGATGCTAAAAAACAAATAATATAGTAACTTATTTGCCAGGGTATCCTGCAACACTTTAGTGCCTGCAAATGTCTGTCTTCTATTTTCTCATCTCCTTTTGCCAACTTTCCATCACTGAAACTGACATTAGTAATTAAAATGGGTGAGCAGAGATGGAGGAATCACAGTTCCACGTGCAAATGTACATCACTCTCCCTTGCATCTCAAGGGAAACGCCTTTCTCTGTGTTCTGGAAGATTAGAGGTATGTTACAGGTACAAAAAACACTACAAACTAGTCATATATTAGGAAAGAGTGGCTTACACATGAATAATATCTATTTCCAGCATAAACTTCAAGGGGAAAGGAGAATGTTTGCATAGAATTCTAATGAGATACCAAAGATTCTGTATGATGTATGTTGTGCTGGCTCTAGCTCTTATTTGTGTATTTGTTCCCACCTTTTTAGTTGCCATGCTTTGCCAGACAAATTATCCAGGTGTTGTTCTACAGCAGTAATATACTCTTCCCCAAACACCTGGATGACCAAAAATTCTGGGAGAAAAGATGCTTAAATTTTAACTCACTGCTTTAGCTAGATAATTAGCAAGTTTAAACTCCATATCTGTATAGGATCAAAGGGTGATTTCTAAGGTCCTCATCGCAGTATCACAGTGCTACCTTGGAGTTGAAGTTTACTGCCCTTTGTAGCAAAGAAGATATCAGCTTTATTACTTGGACTACCACAAAGTTAATATAACTTAAGGTATAGGAATTCTGGCACTTGTTTTTCAAAAGGAAGATGACTGTGATCAGAGCTCTCCTTTATAGGGAAGTGTTTCATAAATACTGAATGTTACAAAGGCAGTAGGGTGGTGGCTGCATCAACTCCTTTAGAAAGCTTTAAAAGTATCTTACATGTTGAGGATGGTTTGTAGGGTCCTGCTGGAAAGCAGTTGGTTGAATTAGCTTCACAACAGTGCACCATGGACCCAGGGGAGTAGAGATGTCTTCATTTGCACCAGAGAAAGGGATTTGAAAGCATGGGTCTCAGGAGCGCTTTGGCCTGTTTTTAGCACCCTACCATGAGGAACCTACTGTCTACCTTTTAGCCTTCTCTATGTATTTATAGAAAAGAAATTTCAGGATGTAGTTACCTCTCTTGTAGTCAGTGAGTTCAATATCTTCTTTGCCTTTCTGTCAGCTATGATATTTCTTTAACAAACTTGTAGATTTTATAACTGTTGGCCCTTTACATGGGTCACATAAGCTCTGTAATAGCTTATCTTGGTGTCTTCCATCTGCTCTCTCTAAAAACCGGGCTAAATAGAAAGGAGCTTTAAAAGGACTCCTCAACCAGCCCCCTCAACCAAAAAAAACACCACCCAGAATTAGCCTGTTGATCTCTAAATTTGGAGCCTAGACTACTTGATGATGTCTTTTAAATTTGGAAGTTAGACTGTGAAATGTCAGTGAGTGAGATGTTGTGATATCTATAGCTGATATTAGATACTTTTGCCATAACTGGTTTACTAGAACACTGAAACAAAAATAAATTCCTACTTATGGTTGCAACTTTGCATTTCAAGGTGGGCTATGCATGCTTACCCTAAACACACAGCCCTTTTTGCCTCTTCTGTAGGCAGCCCAAGCTCCAGGATTGTGCATTGTTGCCACAGTAGCAGTTCACTAGGTTCTTTGCACACCACACTAAAATGAAACATCTGCACCACCTAGGATTGGCCTGACATCCGTCAATGAGAATGATTTTCTAGGACCTCTTTCACAATACATAGAGTAGAGCCTTCTTTCAAGCCTCTTGTTCCGCAGGGTATGCAGGATAGATCATTATATCAAGAATCAAAAGAACAGGTACTCCTGGGTTCACCCCTTTCTAACCATGAAAACTTAGGCAAGTCACTTAGACTGTCTGGGATATCATTTTTCCCCATCCATAAAGCAAAGATAATATTACCTTGCCTTCCAACCTCTCAGAATTGTGGTGAGAGTTAAAGAAGATAATAGTGGATGGGAAACTGGGGAATTGTACATTTTCTTCAAACTGACAAATGCCTATGACTCTATTGTTGTATATTGAACCTAAACTTCCAGTGCCCTTGCCAGCAATTAGAGTACCATAGTGTCCCCAGAGAGAACCAAGTGACAGCATGAAAATTTCAGTTTGACTGAATTTGAGTATAGCCAAGTGCGAGTGGCAGATGTTCCTATTACTGTAACAAATATGTGTCACGGGGAAAGCTTGTTATCTGAATCTTAGCCTTTTAAGCTTTACCTGGAATTAAAAATGCATGTTGCCATTACCAGTGGTTGCTCTTATCTTAAAAATTACTACTAATAACAGCGAATATATTGAGTGTATGTTGCAGACTGGATTCTAGGGCAAGTACATAACATGAATTATCTCATGGAATAGGACGAGGTTCCTGGTTTCGTCCTCCTCCCAGGAGTTCCTGTGGAGATAGGCAGGCTCACACTCCCATGCTGCAGAATCATGCGTCATGCTGAGCATCAGTCAACTGTTATTTCTTTCATATCTGCTTTTGTAAAGTGGAATTAGGGAATATGGATTTTTAATTTATTTTTAAAGCAGAGGTATAAGGGGGTACATGGAATAAAGCCACAAGAAAGGTTGATTAGGATGAAAGCAAGTACATATGTTCATTTTTTTACTGAGATATGATAATCCAAATGCTCAGAAAGATACATACTCATATTCATTAAATTGCCCATAACTACAAAAACAGCCAACCAAATAATTAAAACCACTCCATCTCAGTTGGTTCAGTTTTAGTGGGCACAAACTTCTCACATCCCTTCTTCAACTTAGTTCTTTGATATACTCATTGTCCTGTTTGTTTGTTTCACCTTATTGAACTCCCAGAGGTGGTAACATTCATAGAGAGGGCAGCTGTGGTAAGAAAGCCGGCTTTGGTAGAAAGCCAGAAGAATGGGAAGGCATGAAGTAGAAATGCCAGGGTCCCCACCTATGACTCAGCTTCTCCTCTTTCTGTGCTCGACTGACAAGACTCTTTTTTCATTCTTGGGTTATTTGCATACCTTATAGGAGGAGCAGGGACTTCCATCCTGTAAACTGAAAACTGCTATTGGCAAGCTTATTCAACGATAGACTGACTGGATTAATATTGTTACACCTGTAAAAGTATTTGGGTTTCCTCCACTCAAGTAAAAGAAAATGTGGGCACTCACAACTCTGAGGTGGTTTTGGTAGCCTTCAGTAAACAGTAGTGTGTGAGAGCTGTATCTCACCAGGTGCATCGTCTCACTGAAATCAGGTATTAGACCAAGAGCTGCATCATGCAGTTTATAAGCAAGCAGGCACCAGAACAGTCATCCAACCTGCCCTGTAAGTTTGAAAATGTTCCAACTCTGCCCTTTTAGACAACCCAATATCATCCTGTCTGAAAGAGTTATCAGAAGTGAATCCAACAGTATCCCAGCAGATTCGATCAGGTGAGTGAATTCTAGCTTTGACTTCTAACACAATGAGCTAGGAATCCAAAGTCTATTAGGCTTGCTAGATTCTTAAATACTGCTCAAGGAAGGGCTGGAGTGCCCTGCAATATTTAGGCCAATCAGTATATCTTTAACACCACTAGTTTGACAATCAGAAATATTTACTTATTAGCAAAGTCTCTGGTGTTAAGCTACAGATAAAGCTTCTGTGGTAGTAGCTTCTGAGTAACTAGACTTTTTTTGTTTTTTCTTTTTCAAATGCTAACAGCCTTGAAGGGGTATTCCTGATTAGGTTACTTAACATGTTAACCAACCTATGATTGGTTAACATACGCCAAAATAATTTAAAGAAATTATATAAAATGTAACAGAATTTGTAAAGGATTTCTCAAGTTATCACACTGTGCTAGTGTGGGGTAGAGGTCTTTACTGCTCTGAAGTCAATAACGTGATGAATAGAGTTGCACTGGCATATACCCTTAGTGACTGCTTTTCTTAGGGTAATATGTGGGGGGTCTTTTTAAAATTTGAAGTTCAAAAATCATTTTGCAGTTCACATGTGCAAGAGAACCCTACATC